CTTGTATATTTGAATAGGCTGGGATGTAGTCCCCTGACACTTGATACAATACTTGTAGCTGTCCTAGAGATGTCAAAATTAATTTTCACCACTGCTGTTTTTGGACATTTTCACGTCAGTCAAAACTGAACCATGTCAAAATTTGAACTGTGTCTAGAGGACATAATTAATTGGGTGATATATAAATACCATAAATAAATGGTGTTCTCTTCTCTCCCTTCTGGCTCTGGACTAGAGACAATTTTTAATGGTATAAAGAGGGAGGGGATATATGAAAGAAATTCCGTGCAAAGCAACTGCTTTGTGTGATAGCTCCATGGTAAGGCCAGCACCAAATGGATTTATTTTTAAATAGTATCTTGCATTGTCTTAAAAGTAATCGCTGTGAAATATTTATTACAGTATATAACAACATATAGCCATTAGTTTATATGATTGCAAGATGCGAGTTGTCATGGAATACCTTGAACTGATTGCAATAGTTTTCATATTTTTAATGTGGGTGGATGATTAAATTTAAATATGGCTAAGTGTATAGCTTTGACCAAACTGTGAGAGGCAGGGGAAGACAGGAGTGCCTGAAGTGCTCTGGTCCATGGGGTCACGAAGAGTCGGACACGACTAAACAACAACAAGTGTATAGCATAGATTTTAAACACGGTTATAAAACTATTATTAGTTTGCTCAGTTGATTTCCTTCTGCTTCAGTGGATTGGCTGATCTGTAAAGCAGAATCTCCAGCTGTTTCTCCTGATAGTGGTTTGTTTCCACCAGTTTCCACATTCTGTCCTTGATCCCACAAAAAATCATCATGGCCAAGTCCCAGTGAAACCAATGACATAAACTAATCAATCCCGGTGCTTTTAATTGAATTTTGTCATGAGCTCTACCTGGACCCATATCATTTTTGCGCTATGGTATTGTGCCTTTGCTAGTCAAGGGATTACCCCTCCCTCATTGAGTGGGATAAAGTTAAATAAAGTACAGTTTTGTTTCCAGTTGTGCCTCAGCTTTAATTTATACCCAGAACTGGGAATAAGTTGCGTCAGGAACCCCAACGTCAAGAATCCTCACTGCAGATTCATGGTATATGCTACCACTCATAAAGAATCCCTGAATTCCTGAATTCACATCTGATTTATACAGGGAACGATCAAGGCTGTATCTCCTCAGCATCAGTCAGGTTGCCCACTCCCATCTCTACTGAGGGAGTTTGTCAGATACCTGTCCCCAAGAAGAGACCGTTATTCAGTGGAAGAGTGCATGCTTTGCAGTTCTAGGCACTATCACCACCACCATCTCTTTTGCCCTTTAACTATCTGTGGCCTTTTAGAAGTGGCCAGGATGTTTTTAATGTATTCCCTATCCCCTTGGTTTAAATGTACCTGTGCGGGTTTTGTTTGGTTGAAAGTCACTCTGGGTTAAAAGTGACAACAAATTTAATAAATAATAATATCCAGTTAAAAGGGTGTCTTAGCAGGTGATGGTGAACACCTTTCCTAAGACTTCTGAGGGCAACTGCCAGTGACAGTAAACAATACTGCATTAGATGGGTATTTAGTCTGATCTGCGACAGAGGAAGCTTCCTGGCTGAGTCAGACCAGTGTGTCCATCCAGCTCATCATACATTCTCTACTTTGTACCAACCCCTGGCTATGGAGACATCTCAGGTTCCTCAATTTTTATATGGATCTGAGCCCAGATATTAGCTTTCTAAAATCAGGGGCACTTTACGGCTGGGGACCATTCAAACATTTGTCCTCCACCATCACCTGTATTCTGAGATGGTACATTCCCATAACCTAGTGGTGGACCTTGGGGGGTCTCAGATTTCAATGGCACCCTGTGCAATGCCAAAGTTCAGAGCCCCCCCCACACTTCTCACGCTCCATTCTAAGTCATAGTTGCAGCATCTCCTGTGGTGCCCCCGAGGCTAAGAGCACAGTGTGACCAAACCATTCACACACCCTTAAATCTGCCTATGCATAACCTGTCTGTCATGTTACAAAATCTGAATGTCTAGATTAGTCCTGATCAGCTCAGAACATAGGCTTAGCTGTGAGCTACACAATCTGTCTTGCTGTAACAGCACACAAAACAAAACATGTTGCAGAATACTCTTGGCATACATAGCTAGGTGCAAGGATGTCGTCTGTGTCATTTAAGGTAATGGTGGTTGTGCAAAATAAAAAAAAATCCTTCCAGTAGCACCTTAGAGACCAACTAAGTTTGTTCTTGGTATGAGCTTTCGTGTGCATGCACACTTCTTCAGATACACTGAAATAGAAGTCACCAGACCCTTACATATAGTGAGAGGGTGGGGAGGGGTATTACTCAGAAGGGTGGTGGGAATGGGTGATTGGCTGATAGGTGTGGTAAACACTTGTTGTGCACTTTGCTTTCATTATTATACTTTTTTAAAAAAACAGCTCTTGGATTATTATTATTATTATTTTGCTTAAACACATTTCACTTTATTCCCCTTAGCATCTTGGCCCCCCGTCCTTTGTCTCTATTGTGTCTGGCAACCCATTTTAGTAAATAAGCAACAACAACTGAACAGGCATGTTTCAGCAGAAGTACAAAATGTTCTCCCCTCTAACTAGCAGTTGTTAAAAAGCAATATAATTTTAGTACAATGTGCAGTCGCTGCTTTTTTCTAAGAAAACAGGCAGATTATCCTAGATAATAAATATGTGCTTTTAAATATGTATTGTTGGGCCCTGCTGTGAAGGTTGAGGTGTCACTGTTTTAGAGCCATAGATTCCAACTTAGTGTGTTGTGACATAAATGGTTACAACTTTAAATTAAAACCCTACAATACAAGGAAATTTAGTAAGCAGACTGTCATGTTCCTACATCCTCCATTTAGGTTGCTCTTTGGTCTGAAAATGTCAGAGACCCAGAATGAGCATAAATCAATACATAGGATTTTATTTTGGCTTTAAGTATTTACTGTCATCCTCAGTGAGTAAGACTTCAACATAACTGGTAAGGCAAGCAAGAAGGCTTTGTCTCCTGGCTAGTAACTACCTATCCCAAATAACTACATTGAGAAGTCAATGAGGATATGTGCACCTCTAAGGCAGCCTTCAGGGACGCGGGTAGTGCTGTGGGTTAAACCACAGAGCCTAGGACTTGCCAATCAGAAGGTCAGCGGTTTGAATCCCCGCAACGGGGTGAGCTCCCATTGCTCAGTCCCTGCTCCTGCCAACCTAGCAGTTCGAAAGCACGTCAAAGTGCAAATAGATAAATAGGTACCGCTCCAGCGGGAAGGTAAATGGTGTTTCCATGAGCTGCTCTGGTTTGGCAGAAGCGGCTTAGTCATGCTGGCCACATGACCCAGAAGGTGTACACCAGCTCCCTCGGCCAATAAAGCGAGATGAGCGCCGCAACCCCAGAGTCGGTCACGACTGGACCTAATGGTCAGGGGTCCCTTTACCTTTAAGGCAGCCTTCATATCGTGCCATGCTGGCTTGGGTTGTTGGGAGTTGTAGTCCATAACATCTAGGGGCACCAGGCTGGGGAAAGTGTACTACCAACAAATTCAGTTCCAACAAATGCCACTTTCTCTACACTTCTCTTTGCCTGCAGTTTGGAAACTGGAGTGGCAATCAGTCTCTGACAGTGGAGGAGTCGGTGGGGTGTTTCGCCTGAAGGCCAACTATTGCTGATGCCTGCTTCCAACACACACACACACACACCTTTTAACCCAAGTGGAATATCTGTGAAGGAAACTGAATGCAAAAACATTGGCAGAATGCAAAATCTGTGTGCATTTTGCACCTACAGACTACTATGGAACTACAAGGTTCTGTAGGATGCAGTGCTAAAATACTTCTCGAAAAAGACATGTACTAGTTCTAAGTTGTCTCAGAGCACCACTGAGAGTGTTGGCATTACCTAATAAATATGGCTTTCCTTAGCATACAGGTCCTTGAAAACTGGAGATGAGGGATTGGTCTCTGTCCTGGTTTTCCTGAGGAAATGATGACCATAAAACTCATTTTCCAATACCTCTTTCCATTGGTTTTTAGTAAAGCGGTGATATCAGGCTGAGTGAGAAAGGAGGGGAATCCACCATATAATCGAGAGTATACTACATGGGTACCTTTAGTCCACCTAGCCCCAAACTGTTATTTGGTGGCACTTTCTGGGCACTAAGATGTTTCCCAGTCTTGCTACCTGAGAATATTTGAAACTGGAGATGATGGAGAAAGAACCTGTAATAGTATGAATTGGTCTTATGCTGCACCCTGGGTGGCATGATACTGTAACTGCCTTCAAAGGCATATTGTAGTCTCATTCAGGATCCTCAAAGGAATGTTAGAGGTTTTCTATGTGCAACATGTATGTGTGGCACCAGATGAACTTAAAGAAAGAGAAATTATGTACAAGCCCAGGGTGTTTATAATCTTGGTAGTAATGTTTTGCTGGCTGGAATGCTTCTATCTTTCATCCTTTACTAGACTAGCCTGCCTCTTAAAAATCCACGTGTAGGTGTACTCCTCCACTCCATTTAATACCACTGATGAATGAGTGCTGATTCACAATCCTTTGTCCTTGGCATCCATTCACTCAAAATCCTGTTTTCATGCTTGTGAAAAACAAGAGACTTCCCAAAGCACAGGTTAAACCTTTCCTCATCATTCTAGCTGACACTGTCTGTTAACTACATGCCTTTCCCACACCACAGCCGATGCATGGGAAGAAATAGGCTTTCAAGGATGAGCGCTAACATATAGCAGAATTTGTAACCATTAGTTACCATGCCAATCCCTTTTCTTGTCTCAGCTGAAGAAATAACGTATCGCGCACTAGCATCTCGGGACCGGTGTTTATCACTCTGAATATATGGCAGATGGGGGGCGGGAACGCCTTCTCCACCCCACAAACCTCTAAAAATCCAGTTTTCTCTGATGGGTTTAGCAGTTGCGAGACTGCCAGTCAGCTGTGGCTTTACAAGAGTTATTGTCATTGTGATTTTCGCATGAGTCATTTAGTATATTGCCCCCAAAGGCACCTCATTATGATTCAGTGTGCAGCATGTAAGATGGTTAAGGCTTTGGGGCTTCGCCGATCAGAGTGGGGGCTGCAGTTGCTCAGCATTCTGAAGTCGCGGCATTGTGCTTAATTGACACCTTTGATGTAGCCCCTAAGACAGCACCTGCACCTCCCACTGCTGCTCGGAAGACGTCAGCCTTACGCAGAAAAGGCTTCGGCTTATGAATCCTGCATCTCATTCAGCTCTCACTGTGAGCAGCTTTGGCTATCCTTAACTAATCCCAGCGCTTCCCATTTCTGCTGCTGCTTGGGTGTAGTACAAAGGCAAACGTTTTCCTGCTTGGCATTATCTGATTAAACACTAAGTCTGTGTCCATGTTAGAACTCATAGAAGGTAAGTTAAATGCCTTATTACTATCCTGGCATGTAAATATTAATACAAGGTGGAGAGTTCGGATGTCTGGTAGTTGCCGCTACCCACCCCCTTTCCTGTTGCTGATGAATATGGATTATAACCTAGCAGTGGTGTGTCTGAGGAGACATTTTATTCCGTAGCATTTCTCTTTCTATCTATGTGATTTTTCACTACATCGTTAGCATCCTTTGCTTAGGTGCTCTGTGCTGTGCCTTCTGTCTCTGCTAGGTTTTTGCTCTTCGTTTTACAGCAGATTTTATGGAAATAGAAAAGGCTGCCCGTAACAAGTGTTTCCACCATTTAAAAGAGCCATTCATATTTAGAGGAGAGTAACTGAGGTGTATTGGGCAACATTGTTAGAAATGGCAGAACCCATAATGCTTGGCTCAAAGGTGCTATGTAGACACTTCTGCAAGGTAGTAACCTATTAGTACCAACACTGTTTTTATGTTGTCTATAATATACTAGTGATCTTAAATTTCTAATAGATTAAGAAACATATATACATCAAGGAGTGGAAGAGATTTTATGCAGGCAGCAGCAGGGTGGGGAAAGCATATGGCTCTGCATCTTTTTGCATGTACAAGCACTCCACAGTTGAGTACAATAATTTTAATTTCATCGGTGTTGAGGTCACACAACGAATACCAATTAGTTGATCACTCATCTAAGCACAATGTAAGGCAGGCTAGTATTGAATCGTAACGTGGAGAGTGCTTGCTTGAGAGCTACTTTATTTAATGCTTATAATATAAGAAATAACTGGTTAATATGAATCATGTTTGTTGCACGTTGCATAGTTTTTTGTTCCAGCGATGCACATATCTGATCTATTTGTTTGTCCTTCTAGTTAATGGAACTCCTGGTAGCCAGCTTTCTACTCCCCGCTCTGGGAAGTCTCCAAGCCCTTCTCCCACCAGCCCAGGAAGCCTGCGGAAACAGAGGGTAAGGAAACTTGTGGTTATTAAGAGTGTCCAAGAGAATACCTTGATACTAAATAGCTTAATCTGTTGCAGTGGTTTTCAAACTTTATTCATTTAGGGATCTGCTGAGAAATCCCTTGGGATAGGGAATTCCCCACCCCAACCCAATGCTTTGCTTGGCCTTCTGCTCTGCCCTATTTCCATATCCCATCGCCTGGAAAATTTCATTAATTGCCTCAGGACCTGATGTACGCACAGCTTGCTCATTTTGGAGCCTCCCATTTGTTCCCATTAATACTGTTCTCCCACCCTGCACTGATAAGCAGAAACAATTGTGTGCATTGAAACACTGGGTGCAATATTTTTGAGCTCTCAAATATGTGAATGTTTGCCCAGAACTCTGAGAGTATTGTTTCAATTTGTACAATTGTTCATGTGCATAGCATAACAGTAAGAAAAAACAGTATTGTGGGGAAAATGGAAGGAACTGAAAGCTGGGGCAAGAGCTGTACATGTGTGGTTGTCTTTACAAGGTCTAGAAATCTAATCCAAAGTAATCACAGATAACTAATGCATTGGTATCACAAACACACCCAAGACCTGGAACCTTAGAGAGAAAATTGGGGCAGTGAAATTTTGTAAGCATCCCAGGAACCCCTGCAGGTAGATCACAGATCCATGGGACATTGCAGAAAAACATGTTTGTGCAGTGTTCTGGCCAAATCTGTTGGGCCTCTCTGCTGTCCCATGTGAACTGAATTCAACCTGGAAAACACCCAACAGTTTCTTGTAGATGAATTTTGCAGGGTAATGAAGGACAATCTGTCTCTTGGGCCTTTGGCAGTCCATTACTCCTCCCCTGATAAGCTTAGAAGAAACTCCAGGGCTCTGGGATGACTGTTTGAAAACCACTGTTCTTACAGGTGTAGCATACCTGGTCAAAATAGCTTGTCTACAGTTCTTGTTTAGAAGCTGTTGTATAAACTGGAACAACAGTTGAACTGAAACGACTGCCCTTCTTGGCATTTGTGAAAGAGCTCTCTCTAAGGAAATGTACTCCTTTTGTGATGCTACATTTTTAATGATCTATTGCAAAGCGTTTCTCTGTTGAAAGAATAATGCCCTTTCCACCCTTCATTCAAAACAATGAACTCTATGGTGCAAAAAGAGACAAAAGTATGTCCCCCTCAAGCCAAGAGTAGTAAAAGATAATGAAAGAACAATTTATCAATGCACAAAAAGTATTCGAAAAAAATACACCTGCACACTCTGGTTGCATTTGCACAACACACTAAACAATGGTTTAGCACACCACACCTGAAATGGAACAAGGCCAAGTGAGCCTTGGACTTACATGCTCTCCCCTTCCCTCACTTGCTTTCATCTGGTCAGGAGGAAAATTGGCAGCATCTCCCTTAAACTTGGTCTGTCTTTGCATACAAAGTGAGGATCATTGTTAAGGGTGATATTCAGTGCTTGTTCTGTTCAGAGTAGATCCATTGTTTCTGGACACAACTAACTTGGGTTCATTAATTTCAAGGCAACTACTCTAAATAGGACTAAGCTGAATACTATCCTAAATCACTAATTCTCAGATTCAAAATTAGCCATCCTCAAACCACAGGTTGTGAAGCTGGCTTGTTTAACTTAACCATATGTAGTATAAACTACAATCTAACTTTCATACTCAATGAGAAACCAAGTTCAAGAGAAACAGAAAGTTATTACTGTCAAAGCCAGTGGTTCCCAATTGGGGGTCCGCTGAACGCACCCAGAGGGTCTGTGGCCTCATCCCTTGCCTGCCCGCAACTAATTTTTTGTAATTTTTGCCTGGTAATAATCACAAATTTATGGTCTTTTTTGTTTTTAGTATACCTAAAATCCTTTGCTTATTAGGGGCTACCCCACATTGTTCAAAAAATTGCTTTGCAGAGGTAACTACCATAGAGTTATCAAAAATTTCAAAAGTAGGGGGTCCGTGGCTTGGCTTTTGAAAAATAGGGGGTCCTCAGCAATTAGCTAATTGGGAACCACTGGTCATAGCCCTTATCCTGGTCACAAAGAAGAGGGAGAGCATTTGAGCCCAAGGTTTCCTTATACTCATTCCCGTGTTCATCATGAGAACATCACCATTATTAGACTTTAGAAGAATCTATTTAGTCAATGTGCATAAACCAATAATCATTCTGAAATAATTGTAGCAGTTATTTTCATGCTTGCAACATAGTAGTACAAAACACCTTTGATCATATTGATTATCATAGGGCAGGTCAAAGTTGTGGGTATCTCAACGATTGACGCTAACTAGTTGGAAGAGGTGTCTCCTTTACTTTTCTGAATCCTAAAAAAGTATTCCTTAAGACAGCACACTCATGTCTCTCATTTCTGTTTACTAATATGGCTAGGCCCATCATTTCTCTGTGTTTTGGCTGAACTAATTTAATAATCCAGGGCATGGTCTTGAAGGCACATGATGTAGAAATCTTGCTGAAGCTAAGTAGGATTGGGTCTGGTCAATATCTAGATGGGACATCACTTGGCAATGTTGTGTGGGTCAGCTTGAGCTCCTTAGACAAAAAGGTGAGAAATAAATGTAATAAATAGTTTAGCTTACAGGTTGGTTGTGAGAGAATGATATAGCTATGATTAGTAACTGCTGGAGAAGGCATCAGGGTTTAATCAGGCACCTGTTGAGGCCTATTCATCAGTAGGGGGCCTCAATTCCAGTCCTTGGAACCTCCTGAACATGTTCCTTGCCTGTCTTCTTGCTGCCTACTTACTTATCAATGTTGAACAAATACGCTGGGGGAGGAATGAGGAGCAGCAGGAGGATATATCTTGTCTTTTCCCTCTGGGAAGTGATGTGAATTGGGCCAGGAGAAGAGGCAAGTGAATGGGCAGTGGCAGCTGTGGTGAGGATAAAGAAAATGGGCACCCTCAGATGAAAAAAACCACTAAGAGCCTGATACCAGCACTCAACTACAGTATAGACTAGAGCAGGGGTCAGCAAACTTTTTCAGCAGGGGGCTGGTCCACTGTCCATCAGACCTTTTGGAGGGCTGGACTATATTGCGGGGGGAGGGGGGGATGAATGAATTCCTATGCCCCACAAATAACCCAGAGATGCATTTTAAATAAAAGCACACATTCTACTCATGTAAAAACACCAGGCAGGCCCCCAAAATAACCCAGAGGTGCATTTTAAATAAAAGGACACATTCTACTCATGTAAAAACACTCATGTAAAAACACGTTGATTCCCGGACCGTCCACAGGCCAGATTTAGAAGGTGATTGGGCCAGATCTGGCCCCCGGGCTTTAGTTTGCCTACCCATGGACTAGAGGCAAGTGGGATCATAGAATCATAGAACCGTAGAGTTGGAAAGGGACCAAGAGGGTCATCCAGTCCAACCCCTTGCCACAGGAGCCAACTCTTAGGGGCCATGGGTCTGGGCCTGCACAAAGTTGATGAGCATTCCCATTCAAATGGTATGTGTGCACTGTGTCATGGGATCGATTATGTGGGGCAGGGCTTATCTGGGCCCCCACAATATTTTATTCAAGTTGACACCCCTGCCCTTTGCAATGCAGGATTTGCTAATTTTAACTATTGTTTAGGGAACCATGGTTTCATGTTGGTTTGCTACCCTAACAATAGTTAAGTCTAACCACAACTTGTCCACAATCAAACTTAATGCTAAACTGGTTGATTAAAAAACAGTTTAAGGACAGACAAAAGGCAATACATAGCACATAATTAAAGAATGGATTTTTTCACTACCAGGAAGTAGTAATGGCCACCAACTTGGATAGATTTAAAGGAAGGTAAGATAGATTCATAGAGGATAATTCATGGAGGCTACTAGTTATATGCCTCTGAATTAGCAACTGCCGGGAATCACAAAAGTCATGTGCTGCTGATCTCATGTCCTGCATGTAGACCTCTAAAAGGAGAACAGAATGTGAGAACAGAATGCTAGGCTAGATAAGCTTTTGGTTGGATCCAGCAAGCCGCCTCTTATGTTCTTATCTCCACCTCATTGGGATGCCAAGAGGAGGAGAGGAGTGGAGCTGATGTCTGTGGCTGATTCACACATCACTAAGCCATTACATCTGAATGAGGCCATAATCTTATAGACTTCAATGTTTGCAATCATAGTTTGTGGCTTTTCAGCCAGGGAACTGGCTTCAACTTATCTCCTAGACTCTAGCTTTTCATGAAGTACTTAATAAATTTACCATGATTTTGAGGGGAATGATACAGTTAGTATAATAATTATGTTGTTCCTTTTAGACCTGCCTCTTCAACATGTTTATATTTGATGCACTCCTTCCTTCAAAGAAGATGGAAGGTGCTGTCACTCTAAAATTAAAGACAATTACTGATTAATTAGCTATTCGTGAACGGGAGGGGTAAATCTCTTTGCAGTATCTTTGGACCAGCTCATAAATGGAAGCACCCTTTTATCTCTTTCTTCTCTGTACAGTCTGGGGAGCATAAAGAAACATCAGAGTGAATCAGAGAGAATGAATCAGAATGAGTTCAATAAAGTACCATTATAAAAGCAGAAATGACTTCAACTAACTTTTTGTTCTTTCCCCCATCTGCTCACATGAACATTTTGTGATAGTGGTGTTTTTTTTTAACCGCCTTCCTTAAATTTGAACTGGCCTTTTTGGCTTCAGGACATGGATGGTGGAACTCTTTGATACATTTGGCGGCTGGGCAGATAGGTAGAGGTATATCTGAAACTTCTTGTCATAAACATTTATCCCTTCTATCTCCCTTTCTATATTCCTTTCAGTCCCAAAGAGTCCCAATGATCTCGTTGTCCTCATTCAATACTGAAACTAAACATAAGTATGAGTAGCTGAACTTAACACAAAGTTATGCACTTTTAAACTTTTCTTTCGTCACTCCTTCTGCCCCCCCCCTTTTGTGTTGAATTTTAGGTGGCATGGTCTTCAGAGCAGGGTCTTGTCTTTTTGTTCTTACTTTGTAAAGCATTTTCATCATTAATG